CATATATAGTTATGACTAAGGCCATATGACGCATCAATTCTTATCATTCGTACATGATTTGTATCATTTCCATGATAATGTAGCCCTGCTTTAAACAACTGTCAAAAATGAAGACAGATTTATTCGTTTTGCATATTTATAATGGAACTCTATAAAAAAAGCAACTGTGGTCATACCTTTTCACCTAATGCAAATGGTATAACATTATCATCTTCTGCGTGCAATATCATAATAGGACATTGGATTTTTTCTATATGTTTGTCAGACTCAAATCGAAGATAATTATCATAAAATGGTTCAACAATTAACCAATGGAACCAAGGTATATGTTTAAAGATCTGAGAATAATGATTACTTTTTTAGTAAGTTTTAAATACTTATTGTCGGTATATGTATAAACATTAAATTTTTGTGGCCCAAATTACCTGCGCCAAAGGATGTTCACTTAATTCATCTGCAATATTGTTAAATGGTGATTCTAAAATCAAGCCTGTGGGTTGCATTTCTTCTGTTGCCAATAATGCTAATGTATGAGTAGAAACTCTGCAATAAAAAATCAATTAGTAATATTTACAAAAACATTATAAGTATAAAATAATACATAAAAGAAATATACAGGGTGTTTCGCTTAAAACAGGCTATCTAAATATCTCCTCTATGCCTGAAAATACAAAAAATGTTTCTGACGCAATCTAAATGGTTTCAGAAGACACGAGTGACCTTGAAATAACCATTAAAAAACGAGTCTTCCATTTGATTTGTCTTTTGAAACTATTTAGATTGCGTCAGAAACATTTTTAGTATTATCAGACATATACCTGCCGTTACGGGAGTCCATAGTACGCAAGGACCAGTCTTCAGTCGCTGTCTTCGTCTTTCTCTTTCTCTCTAATGCTTTCCATATTTTTGCCACTACTCGGATCTACGTATTTGGTTACCCCACTACCGCCAAACTGCGCGAAACTGATATGGACTCTCGTCTCGACGGCAGTAATAGAGGAGATATGGTGGCCTGATTTAACTCTGTATATAAATTTCATACCCAGTCCCTAGGGAATGTCCCCAAACAAAAACAGGAGCTGTATTATTGACTAATCTTAATAGCCACTGAAGTACATATTTGCTATCATCAACTACTCCCATTTCAGAGAGTTCTGCTCCATCACTGTCACCGTATCCTTGATGTTTATAAAAAAGATGAAGTTTGTAAATATATATATTGAAGACCTTTTAGATTAATAATGCAGGATAAAAATACTTGACACGTACCTCTATAATCAAACGCTATAACGTGATAATCTAAACTTTGAAGAAGCTTGTACAATTCTAATCTATGGCTACTTGCTCTGTTACCACTATTACCATGCATATAAAGAAAGACAGGTAATTTAGAATTATTTAGAACAGCTTCATAATCATCATCAGTTTTAATGGTTGAATCATTGACTAATGATTGGGGTAATGTTTGCCTGAAAGCAAATTTTAATTGATCTTTTTGAATTCATATGTTCACATTTAAATTACCCACCATAGTCCTAGCTTCACTTGTTGATCAGTTTTTAAATAAAAATTTCTTGTTCCTTTCATACCAACTGTCTCCGGTTTCGAAAAATCAACATTAATTGGCCAACGCACTAATTTAGTAAAAATAATTGTATATTAAAAAATTGAACTAAAATGAAATTATCATAATAATTATATACTTACCGATATTCAAGAAAAGAATCTTTTTTTGTATAGTGTAAGAGTAGTGAAATATTAAGGGTAAAAGTCCAAATATGACCAAATACGTAATTAATGATATTTTCATTATCAAAAGTAAGTACT